CCTGTTCATTTAAAAAGATTAATCTCAAAGTAGATTCAAACTGTATCTTCTGTTCCCTACAGTTATTAGGAGTGAATGTATAATTTTGTTTTGTTTTTGAGGGAGGTATACCCCTGTTCTTTCTTCCTTCCTTCCTTTCTTTCTTTTTTCTTTTCTTTTCTTCTATTTTCTTTTCTTTTCTTTTTGTCTTTTTCAGACAGGGTTTTATTATGTAGTTCAGGCTGGCCTTGGACTCACTCTGTAGCCCAGGCTGTCCTTGAACTCACAGCGATCCTCCTGCCTCAGCGTCCTGAGTGCTGGGATTACAGGTGTGCACCACCACGCCCGGCTAGAAGGTCCATTCTTGTCCCCTGACCCCGCCTTGTCTCTCTGCTTCCTGCCTGTCATGGGTTGAGCACATTTCCTTCTGCCATGCCCTTTGCCACCCTTTTCCTGCTGAGGAGCCAGATGACCATGGACTGAAACCATGAGTTAAAAGAACCTCCCCTCTTTTAAGTTGCAGGTGTTGGGCAATTTGTCCCAATGACAAAGGAGTGACTAAGACATGGGGTCTCACAAAATCTCTACATTTTGTTGGGCAGCAGGTTCCATGTTCATGTGAACCTTAAATTTCTGAGGACAAATGACAAAGGAGCACCCCCTTCTCCCCTGTAGTGAACCTTACTCTTAGGCTTCCATGCCTCTTCCCTGCTCTGTTCTGGTGCCAGCACAGCAAGAGCCACCTGGGAAAGTTGGAAAAACCTCCGGCATGCATAAGCCATGCTTAGAAATTATTTAATGGAGCAAGTTGCCCTCCTAACATAGGGAAGAGAAAAGAACCTGCCCGTTCAATCAACCCTGCCCTGCCACAAGCCTAACACCTCTTATTCCCTGTTAGACTGATGGGTGAGGTCTGGGAATGGGGTGGGAAGGGTGGTGCAGGAGGAGACTGTTGGCGGTAAGGCCGTTTCTGCTGCCTCTTCATGGTCCCTCTCAGGGGATGGCTGGGTCCTGTTGGTGGGGAGGCGTTCTCTAGAATGAGGAGCACGTAAGGAACTTTAGTTTTGGACTGGAGCCAAGCTTAGGTTGCTGATATGTGTCTGTTATGCACACCTCATCACAGGTTCCCATAGACAGATGCATGATGGCGCACAGGTGTATATTTTAGGCTTGTGAAAGGTTGGGAGTCCTCTCTGGTACCTTTTTCAGATGCAATCCATAAAAAATCCCACTAACTCATAACAAGGGTGAAGAATGCAATACAATCTGATTTTTCCCCTGACATTTTTTTTTCCAAATGTCAAATTTCAAAGTGTTAAATCATTTCTAATGTTTTAAAAATTATTTTTATTCTCTTTAATGGTCTGATCGATTTTGCATTCTTACATCTGGTAATCTGAACAACTTCACTGAAGATAACAATATATAATATGACAATCATTGTTAATTCCTATCATTTTGTTTTGAAACCCTGTATCATTTTTATTGTTTTGTTTTAGACTATGTTGTTATTTTTTTATTCCTTTAAAATATAGTTGAAAAAATAGTTGAATGGCCCTACATTCCTAGTGTCCCCGAAACATACTTATTCTATTGGTAATCTAGCACTGGGTTCCACTGAGAATTTTGAAGAATGGGTGTATGAGAAATTTCTTTGTGATATACAACTACATGCAAGTATCATGATGACATGTGACTGTAGATTTTCTACACCCTAATCACCCCATCCACTTAACTAAACCTTATTTTGGTTTGGAATATGAAAATAAATTGGCTGGGCATGGTGGCACATGCCTGTAATCCCAGCACTTGGGAGGGAGGCTGAGGCAGGAGGATTGTTGCAAGTTTGAGGCCAGCCTTGGCTCCAAAGTGAGTTCAAGACCAGCCTGAACTGCATAGTGAGACCCTGTCTCAAAAAGACAAAAAAAAGAAAAAGAAAAAGAAAAAAACAGAAAATAAATTGATTGAAATAAATTTTTAATTTCACTGGTATATACTGACCAATTAAGATTGTAGTGTCTTGAGCCAGATAGACTAGGTTTTAAGCCTGGCTTCGTGCTTTTAGGTGATTTGTTCAATCTCTTTCAGCCTCAATTTCTTCATCTGTGAGATGGGGATAGTAACAGTATCAATCTCATGGAGCTGTGAGAATCAAATGAGTTAATTCATATGAAAATCAAAGATTAGTGCATGAAAAAGCGTCAGGCACAAGGTAAACTCCCAAATGTTAGCTATTATTACATACCCATATGAACTACATAGAAAAAAGGGAGTTCCTTATTTTTTCTGATGAACTTAGCCCTTTTAATGAAGTTTTGAGTATTTACTTGAAAGAGTTGCTGAGGACAGGAAGTGAGAGTGGTGTGAGAAATCCCCCAGCACCAGAGGTGAGTCCTCTGGGCTCAAGGAAGAGTGGGACCCCAGCTTTTCAGCTGAGAGCAGGCAAGTGAGCTGCCCCAGCGGGTGGACAAGTGCAAACAGGTGCGAGCATGCGCAGCAGTCCATATTCCCATGCCAGCGCTGGGGGGAATTCATTACTGATGAGCAGACCTGTGTAATTCTTCCTACTTTGACTCACACGGATTCTCTTTCTGCACCTGTTGGCTCCGTTGGGCTCCCCTTTGAATTGCTGCCTGTTTGCAGATTGATATTGAAGGGAAAAGTTTGATGTAATGATTTTCTTCAAATGGCTTTACAATATTTCATTTATCGTTTCAGCCTCATTGCTTTCCTACCTTCCTATCACGCGCAGCCCTTACCAGTTTTATTGGCCCATCCAACGCGAATTGATCTAGCTGAACATTCTGGATCCAAAAGTAGACCATTTATGTACTTCTTTCTTTGCATCCTTTTTATTTTAATCTTCCCGTATCAAGCTTTCATTCTAAATTCATCATGGATCTCAAGACTTAGTCTTGATCTTTCCAGCAAATATTTGCCAGGTTGTAATTTTTTATTTGCTATCAACAGTCAAATTTAAACAAGGCTAATCTTGTTTTAATTTGGTTTGTCTAAATCCTAGTCTTGGTACTTAGGGAAAGCACATGTTAATTTTTAGTTCTTCAGTATTCTTTCATTGCTCAGATATGTTCCTCCTCTCCTATTCCTCCTCCTTTCCTGCTTCTCCTCCACCCTCCTTCTTTTTCTTTAAAGAAAAAAAAAAAAAGAAAACAATCTGGGAGCAGTGAGAACCACATTTGGAGTTGAACTTTGAACAGAAAGTATTGGGACAAAAAAAACCACTGAAATATAATTGCGGTTGGGAGGGCAGTGTGGGCATCTATTTGAAAGACTACTCTTGTTATTATCGCTTTTCTCTTCTTTGCCCCCTCAGGGGATTCTCTGGAGTGATCCCAACTCCCTGACGGTGCCCTATGGTTGCAGTGACCCCGTGCAGCAGTGGCTATCTGGTCTACACAGGGTCTCTGTGTAGACAAGTGACTGCCTACTCTGGCCTGGAGTCATAGATTGCAGAGGCGGAAACCCTGGTTTTACCTATATTTGACCTTCAGTGTCGTGCATGTGTATTTGCTGATTTCAAGGGCAGAGCTTCCGTGGGCCGAGGGCTGTTGAGCATGACATGAGAAACTGCTTTCAAACTCGAATTCCGTTGCGGAGTAGGTATCTGAATAAGGGGTTGCATTTAGATTTGAGTCTCTCCATCAACTGCAAAAGCACAGGTGCAACACCTCCTTCTCCTACAGGTCCCAGGCTGCGTCTGGAGCCAAGTCTCTCGTGCTTGGCTGCTGGCTGCGGGACAGCAGCTCCTTCTCACCTGCTTGTCAGGAAAGGTCCAGACCCTACAAGACCACAAGTCCCAGTACGGGTTGTGCCTCCCCCAGGAAGCTCTGTGTGGCCATTCCAGTCTGGACAACCTTTCAAGGCTCAAACCCAGTCATCTGCGCACTAGTGCCGGTGGGCAGATGCAAGCAGGTTTCATCGAACACATTCCATCCATTTGCTTATCTATTACACAGGGCTGCTGTGGAGAGACAGTGGCAGAACTGTGCCAGAAACCATAGGAGCACCAGGCCTGGAGTATTTACTTTCTGGTGCCTCGTAGGAAGTTTGCTAAGCCTTATCCTAGAGGGAGAGGGCTTAATGTGTGCACCTTTCAGCATGGCCTGCAATCAATGTTCCTTATTTTGGGGTGTGCAAAACTCTCATTTTAAATGCAGCATAGTCTTTTAGTATTTGTCACAAAATTGCACTTCGGAGCTGAGGGGAGAGTGGGCAGGGGACAAAGAGAACTAGCAGGAAATTCTATTTTCAAGAGAAAACAGTCACTCGTTGTGGTCCTGTGTTTGCAGAAAAACTCTTAGAGCACAATTCTATGCCGAATCAAGTTCCTTGCTACTCAGAACTCTTACTGTTACCAACCTCTGTTTAAGACCATAAATCTTACTAAATTTCTATAAGGATATATAAGTAACAGTTAGAATTACATGGCAGGCTAAATACACACAAAATTAGAAGGTTAATGTTTATTTTAAAAACAAACAAATGCACAAACAAAAAATAATACTTATTAGGTCCTTTTGGACACTGAGGTATTTCACGTTATAGAAATCTGGCTGGATGTGGTGGTGCAGCTGGGCCTGGTGCTGCTTACCTGTGGTCCCAGCACTTGGGAGGCTGAGGCAGGAGGATTGCTGTGAGTTTAAGGCCAGCTTAGGCTACAGAGTGAGTTCAAGGCCCGCCTGAACTACATAGCGAGACCCTGCTTCAAAAAAAAAAAAAAGCCAAAAAGAAAAAAAAAATCTGACTTGCGTTTAGGTGAGAATATACTTAGTAGTTCCAAGCTAGATGTATGTATGTACATATACTGGGGATCAAACCCAGGCCTTTGCACTGAGCTATATTCTTCCCCCTTTTAAAATTTTGTTTTCAATTTTTTATGACAATGTCTTGCTAAGTTGTCCAAACTGAGGCTGAACTTTTGATTCTCCTGCTTCAGCTTCCCAGAGAGCTGGTGTTACAAGTGTATGCCACCAGAGATTAATTTCTTCTCTCCTCCCTAGTGGCCAGCCCATTCCCAGGGTGGAATACACAGAAGAAGAAACGAAAACTTGGAGCGTCGTATTCCGGGAGCTCTCCAAACTCTACCCCACGCATGCTTGCCGCGAGTACTTGAAAAACTTCCCGCTGCTGACTAAATACTGCGGCTACAGGGAGGACAACGTGCCTCAGCTGGAAGATGTGTCTGCGTTTCTGAAAGGTGAGGCTTCTAGGATATGTTTACCTGGCCGGTGCCCGCGTTCGCCTTTCAAGGACTCACAAAACAGCAGCTGCCCTTTTCCCAAAAAGGAAAAGCAGTTGATTAAAAAGAGTACTGAACCAATAGCTCCCTGTGGGTCACCTGAGAGAAGCAGATCAGGTCACAGGCTGGGAAAGGGACTGACTGTTTACACAGCTTGGGGCTTGTAGAGGCCTCTCTCTCTCGGCTGTCAAACTTGGTGAACACCACAGGATATTCACAAGTTCAGCCCGGAGCTTTTTCTGACCCAGGAGCTGCAACTCTGTTGAGTTACAGGGGTGTGGAGTGACTTTGGGGATTGTACTGGATGACGATAGGGATAATATTGACGATAATATTGACGATTAGGGACTTTACTCTGGGACGAATCAGTGAGTCAGTCAGTGAATCAACGGATCAGTATTGTTAAGCATGAGCTGTGTGCCAGGGGCTGTGCTTGTTGCCAAGGTTACTGCAGTGAGCAAGATGAGTCCTAGGCGTCCACATTCCTGCGCTCTGTGTGTGTCACTCTCCTCAGCTAGGAAGGTGGAAGCTCTTGTGAGGGACCGAGGAGGAGGCTAACCCCATTTCCCTGTCTGCTCTTCAGTGTGATTAAGTCCTTGGGCCCTCTGCTCGCTCTGTCCTTTACCCTCCTTTTTCTGAAATGCTCTTCCTTTCCTGAAATGCACTTCCATGCCTGTCTTCCCTGTTTCTATCAGGATGCTTCATTCTATCAGGATGCTTCATTCTATCAGGATGCTTCATTCCATTGTCACACCTGCATTTCCAACTGACTCTCTTGCTTCTGTCTTACGAGGGCCCCTGTGATGGTAACAGTTGTATCTGGAAACCTAGGATAATTTCTCCATTTCAAACCCTTAATTTACTGGCATCTGTGAAGTCTGCCTTGGCAAGTGAAGCATCCTGATAGAAACAGGGAAGACAGGCATGGAAGTGCATTTCAGGAAAGTGAAGCTTCATTCTCTAGACACATCAGGCTTGGCCCTAAGGTCTCCTCTCAGTTCCTGCTAATCTTCTTCCTTCTCACCCCCACGTAATAGGGTGTTTTATTGTTGCTGTAACAAATTACCACAAACTTTTGGACTTAACACAAATGATTACCATGTGGTCCTGGAGGGCAGAAGTCTAAGTCAAGCCATCAGCAGGGTTACATTCCTTTTAGAGCCCCTGGCTGGCTCTTGCCTTATTCAGCTTTCAGATCCACCTGCATTCCTTGGCTCATGGCCTCATCCTTGCCTCACTAACCTCTAGCTTCCATTGTCACACCTGCATTTCCAACTGACTCTCTTGCTTCTGTCTTACGAGGGCCCCTGTGATGGTAACAGTTGTATCTGGAAACCTAGGATAATTTCTCCATTTCAAACCCTTAATTTACTGGCATCTGTGAAGTCTGCCTTGGCAAGTGAAGTTACATATTCACAAACTTCTAGTTTTGTGACACACCATTCAATCTGTCCTTTTCTTTCTCTTTCATTGCCACAAACTGAGGTCCCCATTATTTTTCCACCTTGATGTTTATGTTTTCTTCCATTTAGTCTCCTGCCCACTGCTTCCACACGCATTCCTTAAACCTTACCTTCCTAAAACGTTACCTTAAACATTACTTTCTTTTTGTTTTGTTTTGTCTTTTTGAGACAGGGTCTCACTATACAGTTCACGCTGGCCTTGAGCTCACTTTGTAGCCCAGGCTGGCCTCTAACTCGCAATGGTCCTCCTGCCTCAGCCTCTCAAGTGCTGGGATTACAGGCATGTGCCACCACACCCGGCTCAAACTTTCTTCTCATTGTGTTTGCTCAGAAATGATCAGTGGCTCCGCATTACTTTTACTTGGATTGCTACATGTTTTTGGTAAAGGGCTAGAGAGATAAAGGCAAAATCTGGCATATGGTGTGTTATTTACATATGTCCATTAAACAGTGTAACACTCATTCCCTAGGATGTGCAAAAACAGACAGTGGGCTAGATTTGGCCATGCCTGAACTGCTCAGCATTCTGGGCCCTGCCCCTGCCCTCGAAGTTTGTCTTCTGTGCTGACTGCCTGCGCACACCATCTCCTCTCCTGTAGGCTCTCTACATGTTTGTGTAACCTCTGACCCTTGCTAAAAAAAGTCACTGCTTCTCCAGCTACTCAAATTCTGCCTATTCTTCAAGATTCAGAGCGAGTCCCGCCTTCAATATGAATCCTGATCCTGACAGCACCGTGATCTCGCCCTCCCATTCATTTGGTACCATGTGTGTATCGCAAAGGAAAGGAGCTCAGCCCTACTACTGGTGCACTGGGAACCACACTAGCCCTGTGCTGTGGCCTGTGGTGGCGGGTCTCAAACGTGTGCATTATCCACTGCACAGTATTTGTCACTGAGGAAAAGAGATTGAGAGCCACCGATCGGTATCACTTAATTAGTACCTAATTACATAATGCCTTCTGTTGTTGTTTAACTAGATTATATTCTCCCTAATGGCCTTGAGAGTCATGTTCTTTGCTTTATAAAGAATTACATGCATACTATATATTTACCTCAGGCTCCATTGTTTTTATATGGGGCTTACTTTTTGCTATATTGTTTGTAAACCCCAGTAATTAAAGTAGCATTTTATATTTATTTTTACTGTTTTGAGACAGGGTCTTGCTATGTAGTCTAGGAAGGCCTTAAATTCACTGTGTAGTGCAGGCTGGTCTTGAACTCATGGTGATCCTCTTGCCTCAGCCTCCCAAGTGCTGGGATTGCAGGTGTGCACCACTGTACCTGGCCTATCTCACTTTTTGGCCATACCTATCTCCCAAATTAGTATCTTTCATGAGTATCAGTATGGAGTAGTTTGTATGACTCATTGGCACATGGCAAAAACAATGCAAGTGTATGTGGAGGACCACCGGAGTGACTCTCCTTAAAAGAGGAGCAGTTACCTCTGTTTTGGCTGAGCCTGACCCTATTTCCATGTACTGATATATAGAGAACTGGCTAGGATCCCTTCCTTATCCCTTCAATTGGCTTTAAGCACTGCATATTGGTTTGGAGATGGCAGGCGTGTTTCCCTGACCCCCTGTAGCTCCCTCGAGTGAGCCAGGATGAGGTGGGATGTGTGAGCCAATGCTCCACACTGTCCGCTGGGATTAAGCCTTGGGAATAGAGGCTATAACCTCCTGGGACTTCAAAGATTACACATCAGAGCTGAAGCACTTACCCCGAAGCATTAGGTACTATCTCAGTTGAGTTATGCAGATTACTCTTTCTGCATATCTTTCTCTCTGCATATGACAGAGGTGATTTCAGGCCTCCTACCTAGCCCAGTTCACGGCACTCACATATTTCCTGCCACTCTCGCAGTCACTCATCCTCAAGTCAATCCCTTCTTCACAAATGAATAAAATCTGGGTTTGGTTCTGGGTATAGGATTTTGTTCCGGATAGCCATCATCATGCCTAGACTTAAGACCCCTTGGCTCCCCATAACTACAAATATGTCTTAGTGTCTTTATTCTCGCCATGGGTTGCAGTGGAAGTGGTAGATTGGAATTGACTCGCTAGAATGCCAATAACTTTTCATGGGATTACAAATACAAACTTCTTGGGCTGTGAGGAGGACTGGGAAGGGCTCTGTGTAAGTGTAGGGTTTTAAAAAAAATTTCTCTAATTGAGCAATTTCTAGAATATCTAATTTATTTAAAATGGAAGCATTTAAAACAATAATATCTACAGCCTCAAAGTTCTTGCTATCATTATGTCAGTTTTTCTAATTCACATAAAAATAAAATATATAACTATTAAAATAAAAAATGTATCCCTCTGTGTACCATCCCTTTTGTCCCACATGTGGGATATACTGGCTTAATTGAAGTAATATAGAAAAAGCAGAGAACATATCTTTTTGGTACTCAGAGGGGAGTAATTGAAAGTGAAAAGTTTTGGAATGAACATATTGCTATTAGAATTATGGGTCTAAGGAGGCCTGAAAACAATGTTATTTTTATGAATGGATCAGAAATCCCAGGGTGGACTTTTGTTTTGTTTTGAAACAGGGACTCACTATGTAGCCCGGGTTGGTCTTGAAGTTGTGATCTTCCTGCCTGGGTCTCCAGAGTGCTGGCAATGCAAGCATATGTTGCTGTGCCTGGCAGGGCAGACTTGCTTTATAAACTTGATCCTTGCCTTTTAAGACCATTTCTAAGCATTCTAAAGTGTTTGTCTAAGAAGTTAAATTTTTAAAGGGGAGACTGGTATCGTGTATAAGAATAGTTCTCCTGGACAATCGGTTAGGTGAAACATGCCCAAAACAGAGAGAAAGATACTATGTGATCATTCTTGCATATGAAGTCTAAAGCAGATGTAAATGCAGGCAACAGCACAGTGGTTATGAGGGATGTGTGGAAAATAGGAGGATGTTGGTCAAATGATACAAAGTTGCAGTTCTCTAGGATAAAGAAGTCTAAAGACAATTTACAGCATAACTATGACTAGTAATACTGTATTATATTATGAACATTTGCTAAAACGGTAGGTTTTGTGTGTTCTTAACACATCTGTATCCATGTGAGGAGATGGCTCTATTAGCTCAATTGTCGTGCTGTGTTTCCCTCAAAATAAGACCTAGATGGAACATAATCACCCTTGAAAACTAGAGATCAAAGATGCAGCCCCAGTCAAGCCTATCCTTGCCTTACCTGCCTCTGAGTAGCCACCGAGCAAGAGAATAGGGATGACAGGTAGGGCAAGGATGGGCTGAATGGTACTGGCATTTTTGACCTCTAGTTTTTAAGGCTGATTATGTTCCAGCTAGGTCTTATTTTGAGGGGAAGAGGGAGAATCATTTCACTATGTATATGTCTATCAAAACATGTCTTGTACTTTAAATATACACAGTTTTCACTTAAAAAAAGAACTGTTCTTGTGAGAAAAGGACAATGTAAAGCAACCACTGCAAAGTATGTGATATTTTTATAAAATATATACGTATATATTTTGAGACAGGGTCTTGCTATGTAGTTCAGCTGGCCTTGAACTCACTGGTCTTGAACTTACTATGATCCTCCTGCCTCAGCCTCCCAAGTGTGGGAATTACAGGCATGTGCCACCACACCAGGCTTAAAATATATATTTAAAAATAAAAAGAATGCTGTGAATTTTCTGTATCTTTCTGGAATGAAGCATGAGGTAGCATTTCAATCAAGAATACCGATGAGCCACAACCTCTATGAGTTAATGGTTTAGGGCAATTCTATAGATTTTATTAGAGTCTCACTTTGTTTTTTCTTACTACACATCAATAAAGCATGTAGTGCCTCAGTATACCTCTTCCAATCACAGTAATTCATATATCGCAAAAAGGATGAAGGAGTTAGGAAATATCTATGTCATTAGCTACCATGTGAACAGAGCTCAAGGCGCTGGCAAAGGGGTGTGTGGGCTGTGTGCCACTCACTACACGCACGTGTGGGTACCCAAATAACTCTTAGAAGGAGGCTGGGTAATGCATCCCTTAAATGGTCAACATCATTTTATGTTGTAGTCTTCTCTTGTGTCTTTGGGATTTCTTCTCCTAATTTGGCTACTGGATTTAAATTCTTCAATAGTTTTTTCACCCTTTTTGGCCTTTTAACGAATGTCTTGTTACTGTTGAAGCTGTCATTTATGAGCATATTTTAGGCTCCAGAAGCTTCAAACATGATAACTGTTAGCAGGATTTGTCACCCAGTGGTCAAAAGTCTTAAAATCTTAATGACTTTGCTTGTAGAACATCCTTATAAACAGTAGGGACCCCTGTGTGGGCCCTCGGCTCCTTTCAGGTTAATATTTGTTGGCTCTTTCTGTGGTCTCTTTAGAGCGCTCTGGCTTCACGGTGAGGCCCGTGGCTGGCTACCTGAGCCCAAGGGACTTTCTGGCAGGACTGGCCTACAGAGTGTTCCACTGCACTCAGTACGTCCGGCATGGCTCGGACCCCCTCTACACCCCAGAACCGTGAGTATCCACATTCAAGTGTACACTGGATGGAGACTACCAAGCTGTGAAGTGGTCAGTGCGCACTCAGCTTCAGAGTGACTCAGACCCTCTTTTGTCTGCAGAGTAATTTCACCTCCATTGCTGGGGAGAGTCTCCATACTCCAAGGATCAGACTCAATAGGGCAGATGGGGCCTCTGATATCTTCTGTCTGGCTCATCGCTCTAACGTTATCCCAACACTGAACCTTCTGCTTCATCAGATCTCCATTCCAGATGAGGAAGGGAAGGCGCAGAGGGGTCAAATAGAGACTGACACATAGCTAGGACCCTTGGGTCTCTCATAACACGGCCCCCACATCCAAGAGTTCATGTATAGCAAAATCACTGCTACCTATCATTATTAACTGTAGCGAATCATTACTAAATCCTCTCTCCTTTAATTTTTTTTCTATTTATCACCCCAAGCACAGAGAACTCTGTGCTATGGTCTGTCTGCCGTCTTAGTTTCTCTTTTTGTTTGTTGTTTTGTTTTTGAGACAGGGTCTCACTATATAGTTCATCCCAATTTCGAACTCATTCTGTAGCCCAGGCTGGCTTTGAGCTCATGGTCTGAGCCTCCTGAGTGCTGGGATTATAGGTGTGTGCCACCCAGCTGGCTTTTACCACCTTAGTTTCTTGAACACTCCACTAGTCTTCCCCATCACCTCCAGATGCCTATGACATTTGTGATTCTTCTTTAGCCTGTCAGCTTTTCTTGAGAGAATCCTCATTTGTGGTTTTTAAATCCATTTTCTCTTGGACAATGCAGGGGCAAAGAGTGGGCAGAGGAACTAGCAGGCAGTGCCATCTGCTCTATCCTGGGTGGGTGGCAGGGGCAAGCTGAGAACTTGTGTGTATTAACCATTTGGCCTCTTCACACATGGGACTGTCAAATAGCCTGCATTTTACTTTTTTATATGCCTAAAACAACATAACAAGCACTTCTGTGCCTGGATTCTTTGGTAATGACACAGCAGAAAATATCCCTGCCCTCCCGGCTGCATGGGGAGATTATGTATGGGCAGTACACACCCAGATAAACGGTCAAGTGTCAGTGCCATATGAAACGCCAGTATGGCCTGGGAAGACACACAGAGCAGGGCGAGGAGATGGAGAGACACGCTTGCTGCCTTTTCAGATTGGGTCTGTCAGGACAGCCTCTTGGGAAGACACTCGGTTAGAGACTGGAATGTGAATGTACCAGGGTGGAGGATTCTAAGCTAAGAGAGCAGTGAAAGAAAGACCCCAGTGCTGGGAGCTGTCATGGGTTCTCTGCCCCCTTCACCTCTGTTCAAATCAGTGCCACCTCCATCTAATTTGTTGCCCACTGCTCTTCAAACCACTCAGGTGATCACTTTGCTTAGGATGCTGTCTTACTTGAATAAGCTTGTGATTAATGGGCTGCCAGGGTCTTCTCTGGGAGCAGAGAGCCCTTTGAGATTCAAGCAGTTAAGTAGCTGATGGCAGCAGAAGCGGGCAGGGATTAGAACCGTGTCTCAGAAGCCCCTCTCCACCTCTAGGCGAGCATGAGTCACTGACCAGGTGAGTCCCTGCAGGGTCACTACTTTGTTTTTCAGCTCTGTTCAGCTTCCCCGAAAGTATTTGCAGGGTAAACGAAGGTTACTTATAGGACTCAAGACATTTGGGAAAGAAAGCATGTAGAGTGAAGTGAGTGCTCCAAGGAGCATTGTCAGAGTTAGAAAGGCAATCTCTAAATCCAGCCCAGAGGGTTTACAAATGGCCCTGTTTACAAACAGCAGGCACTTAGTTAGTTCCCTTTGAATAACTGGCTCTCCTGAGACCTGTGATAGCGTGCCAATAGATATGCAGAGAGAGAGCAGGCAAAGAAATGAGATTTTAGCCACATAGGTCTATAACATTTGGGGATAATGTGTTACATTTTACGAAAGTACTTTCAGCCAATTCATTCAGCAATATTTATGTGCAACGTTAGCAAAGAGGTGCGGTATGTTTAAAGATGAATAAAATATAGTAGCTGCTGCTTCTTTTTTTTTTTTTTGAAAGCAGCTCCCATTCTGGCAGGGGCTCTGGAAACATAAATAATGAGGAAGAGGGAAAGAGTTGGCTAGGATTAGCGTCAGATGTGTACAAAGTGTTAAGGAGCACAGAAAGGAGAACAGACCTGAAAAGCTTTTCAGTGGGGTATAATCTGAGTGGAGGTCGGGAAGCGTGAACGGAAATTTCATTTTTGGACAAGGCCTGGTGGGAGGGAAGGGAAGGCTTTCCCAGTTAAGCAGACAGGAAATGCATCAGCTAGCAAGGCTTGATAGACCACAGGGTACAGTTTATGTGATAAGGATGAAAAGTATCTTCAGGGCGCATTATAAATGGTCATTTATCAGACTGGAGCTCGGAGACTTCATTTTGTTGGCAAGAGGGAGCTATCCGAGGTCCTGAAGTATGCTCCGGAAGGGGAATTGAGAAAGATGACTTTGAGTCAGGGCGGCAGAAGTGTGAATGATTGAGATGGAAATCTAGGCAGGGAGCTCACATTCAAGTAAAGGATTAGAGTTGATAAGGCATCATGCTAGGAAAGGTCACTGGGATAATACACGAGTTCTTCTGTTTGATGGTCTCAACCCAGTAGAGATGAATTAGCAATATTTTGTGACTATAATAAGGATCAGAAGAGGGAGGATCCCTAAGGTAACACTAAGTTTTTTATTGGAAAGATGAATGGGTAGTTATTTGTAATAATGACTGAGAGTATTGGAAAAGGATCAGACTTGGGGGAAGAGGGTAGGAAGGAAGGAGGGAAAAGGAGCATTCGGGTTTGGAGCAAGTTGTCTTGGAGGCATCCCTGGATGGGATCTGCAAACAAGAAAGCACTTGGAGGTTGAAAACACAAGTTAGGAGTTCAGAAGTGAATTCAAACCTCCAACAATAAACTTGAGGTTTTTTTTTTTTTTTTTTTAATTCCAGGAATCCATGACAAGAGTGAACTAAGGCAGAGGATAGAAATATTATTTTTTGTGAGTTCTATAAGGTTGCTATTTTTTGTGAGTTTTATAATATTCATTTGTCTTTTAGAAATTATGTTGTTAGCATGTAATACATGCACATGATTCAGATTTCAAAGGGCACTAAAGGGTGGAGGTGAACAGTGGGTTCTTTTTCTTCCTTAATTCTCTTGACACTTGGTTTGTCCTCTTCAGAGGCCACTACTACTACTAGCTTTTATTGGATCCTTTCAGAAGTATGCTAGACATACTAAGTACTTTGGAGAGATCCTTTTGATTGTTGTCTATTACAAAATCATATGTTCATTCTCAACCATGTAGTTTGACTCTATGGGCACAATACTGGAATTGCTGCTTCCTACCTAAGCACTTTCCCAGGCATTGTCTTTGTAATGAAATCCATTTTCTCAATTGAAAACCAACAAGAGGGCAGATTCCCCAGTTTGTGAAGTTCAACTTGGCTGCTGTGTTTGGTTCTTGTATGGTACTTTCAAATCACTGCCCTCAGTTGCTGAACTGTGGTAATACAGGCAGCACTAATGACACAAAGGTGAGCCATGAAGACCCAGGTAGGAATAGGAACGAAAGCAGCAAGATGACATTATCTAAAAACAAAGGATTTTATGACATTATCTAAAAACAAAGGATTTTATGACATTATCTAAAAACAAAGGATTTTATTTCCCTTTTTTGTCTGGATAGAATGTATTTTGCCATCACAATTTTCAACACGCTTTGGGTTTTAAGCATGTCTTTGGCTTGATTTTATATTTTGCATTTTAAAGCTCTGGATTCCCTAAATATGGGCAAATAGTGGAATCTGAATTTAAAAAGTGATAACAGTTTGGATTGGTGCCCTGGGGGAAAGTCTTCTAGCCCAGAGAATAGTAGAGAAAGTCCTCGCAAATCACTGTCCTGGAAAATTGGTGATTCCTGGTTTTCCTGGTGGGAGGAGTTTCCTCTGTTTATGCCTGGGTTAAAGATCTCCCATCTGCTAGCAGAAAGATGCTATCGTGCTTTCTCCCTTAGAGCAGTGCCCGAGGCAGTGACTGCACATTACCAGCTGCGTGCTTTGATCAGTGGTGATCTCAAGCAAAGTTGTGACTAATCAAGTGTCGATATTTATAAATGGTTTCCTTTACAAAGCAACTGTGTCAAATTCAAGGTTACTCTGATAAGATCGTCCCTCTCACTGGAAGGAGAGAAGGAGGCAGTGCCAAGTTTCATGGGCACATGACTGTTTATCCAGCATTTGTATAGGGGCAGAACAAAAATGTGGGAGGTCCCACAAGCTTACTGCTCTGCTCTTTGTTTCTCTGGGTAAAGTCCACGGTGCCCTGTGCCACGTTCAGCCCTCTGGCCACCTCATCCTTTTAGAACAGTTTCTTATCCTTGGCACCACTGACATTTTGGGCCAGACAGTTCTTTGTTATGGGGGATTGTCTGACTGTCCCAAGTACTGCAGAATATTTAGCAGTACCCTCAGCCTCTACCTGCTGGTTGTCTAGAGTACCCCAGTACACACGCTGTCCCACTCCGAGCTGCGACAACCAAAGGTATACCCTGGGGGTGGTTAAAACCACACTTAGAAAATCGAACATCTCCCTTGTCATATTCACACTGCCGTTGTTCCGTCCATGATTGTGCTTTCTCCTCCGAGAAGCAATCTGTAACTTTGTTTCCTTTCCACTACACACACTTGAGCATATTGTTCCTTTGTTTAATTTCTGTTGGGGAAACAAAAACCCCTGGTCTTATCAGTCCAACCATACTGCCTTTCTCCTGGGCCCTTTGAGAGCCTCTGTCCAGCCACACCGGACTTCCTATCATCCCTTTGAGCTTCCTGGCTCTGTCTCCATCCCTGCATATGTGTGGGTGGTTCAGTGTGCCTGGGAAGATTCTGGTGAAGTCTTTTGAGTTCTCTAAGATTCAGCTCAGTGGCAACCTTCTCCGTGAAAACTTTTCCAGTCAGTGAGTTGTTCCTAGGGCATTTTGCCT